ATTCTCCCAGTTAGTTTATAAATAACCTTGATAATGAAAAGCGCTCGGATCCATCATGCCAAGCAATAAGATGGATATTGGAAAAAAATTAAGTCTTCAATTTCTGCATGAAAGAATTTTACTTTCAGAAATATAGTTCAATAATTAGCCGACTTTTACTGAGAAGACAAAATAGTGACTCTTGACTTCGCAATTTTCGTAATAAAAAATTGATAATGGTTTGGGTTGTGACGCGATTCTTGTGAGTGAATATTATTAATACTAATTAATAATGTTTTACTAACAGGCGTGTGCGATAGACTTACCTCTATGTGGTGCACCTTGGGAAACGTATACTCATGCGGCAAAAAAGTCTAGAAACCGGCACCTGACTTCTGAGTTCAAGCTATCATGACCCCAATGTATGACATATTCCACAACTTCCACAGTACTCACCTTTCATCTACCTTTGTGTCTGTCTCTTTTACATCTTTAAAACACTCTTCTGTTCCCCCCTCGCCCTCTCGACTTTTTCGATTTGGTGTTCCTCTCCATCTGTGAAGCCTGAAGTCAACTAAAGGGCTAATGATAACTATCATAAAGCCTGCCATTTGATATAAATAAATAAATGTATTACTAACCACCGTTCCAAAAGTGTTGAGTCAAAATTTTACATATTAGCAGGATATCATTTCATTTAGAAGGGTCTTTAGGAAAAGAGTTTTATGATGATACACGTTAAGGTAATGCATAAATTTTTATGATCTTTTATAAAAGTGTGCGATACCATTTTTCTAAATAACCTATCTTTACATATATATATATATATATATAATAAACGAAATTGTATTAAATTTCTAGACCATTGCAAGATTTACAGCAATAATATTGATGTATCATAAATTATTCATTTCCAATTAAATCTTTGCAAATCAATCCGCCGCGAATTACTGAAGAATGAAATTGTCAAAAAATATGAAATTATGACCAGATTCAATTTAATTTTTAGAAAACTTTAACATATAAATTTAAATTTTGTGACTGTGAAGATAATAAGTTTTTTTGGAATAAATTCTCTCTTTCTTATGTAAACGACTTCTAAACTCTACTATTCATTAAGGCAATGTTTTTAAAATTTAACATAACCCTTCTTCTGTTGTGAAATTTGGGCAGCTTAAACAACTTATTAATTCTATTTTGGTATGACGGCGACAAAATAGACAGAAATTACATTTCCTGGCTTTAACTTAAATTAACAAATAAATTAAAGTATATTAAAAAGCACAAGGGCGAAGTAGTTTAAATATACATAACGTAAGTTTATTATCAAAATTCTTATAATAATAAATGTATTTTTTATATCGGAGTGATAAGCAAAATTTCTACCTTTGCAGACTATCCTTTTGAAAATTTCTGAAAATATTTCGATACAGAACTTCAGTTTTTTGAAGAATTGTTACAAAAATCGGCTGCTGTGCAAATGTCTGGTCAATGGGAATTTCATTTCAATTCGCATATGATGCTCGACTCTGTCTCAAGAACTCAACGACTAGGAAGATTAATTTTTCAACTTAACAAGAATTAATTAGAAATATTAAACAATCTTAACCCAGAAGGAAGCAAATTTTTGAATTTCTTCTTCAACTCCACCTCTTAAAATTGCAAGATTGAATGATCGTAGATTTTTTTAAAAATATTGCCTCATTTTTGCGAACAAACTAATTGGATTAGAACTTATTGATTGGAATGGAAACGGCATTATTTACTATTGCTCTTGATTTCCAAAGGCACGGGTAAAATTATGGGGCTACATCTGAACATGGAGGGATAACAAGCAAGCTCAATAAGGCATGAAATGTGGGGAGCTATTAAAAATATGCAATTAATGAAACTGGGACAATGCAAGTCATGCATTTCATTATTTACCAAACTTTTATTTGACTATAATGGTGCTCATATTTCATTTGGCTCTCAAGAACAGGGGATGATTATGGCTTAGTAACAAATCAATTGAAAAATCCATCGATCCGACTTAATGGCGATTAATGCCAATAGATTTATTTCACGTTCTAAGCTCAAAGGCACAACTTGCAATCAAAGTAAATATTCCGAGCTCATCTATTTTGAATGAAATTTCATTTAAAAGTTTTGGAGAAATTTTTCCCAATTTATATCTTTGCTAATGGATATCTGCATTAATGCCATTTACCATTAAAACAGTTATGCTTTGTATCAAAAAAGAAATGCCCAACGCGCAGTCAATAGTGACAAGGGTTGAAAACAAATTTGTTACCCAAAAACAAATCGACTCTCCATGGATATTCAAAATTGCATACACACACTTTTATCATGATCTAGTGAAACTGAGTTTGCTTTGTTCACTTATGAAGGTGGAAAATGGAGGCTTGTTAAATGCATTATAAATATAAATAGCCCATAATTTAAACACCCATTCTATTCTCCATTTTGATATTCCACTAATTTTGCGTTAAATAAATTCGTCATCTCCTACTTTAATTCTTGTCTTCTATATTCAAAATAAACCAATTGGCAAATTTCGTCATTGTAATTCCTTGAAATTTTTTATACAATTATTAATGTATTCACTGCTCATAGACAATGAAATTTGCGTGCGAGTTGTCAATATAGTTTGTCAATGTGTCCAAAAATAGCGGGAGAGCTAATTCGAAATGCTCAAAAGCTATGCGATGATTGGACATATTGTGAGTTTGATGATTGGTCCATCATTCCATGATGTATGAATTCTTTGAGTTTCTTAATAATAACGCACAGTTAACCGTCATTTAAAATTCAATGAAGTAAGTCAGAATGAATAATACTTTTTACAATGGCAAAATATAACAAAATTATTTGGCTAAAATATTTAATGAAATAGAATTCTTTACTTAAGTGAAGTTTTCTCAGTTTTTGTCGTCTTCAATTTTTTCATTATATTGTTCAATCATTGCAAATGTAAATAATATTTTTAAATATTGTAATAATGTAACCTTTTCTTACCATATGTGCATATTATTTTATAATATCAATTAATTAATTAACTTTGAATATACTGTGCTTATTTTTAAATTTTAAATTTTTTGATACGGTTAACCTTAGCAGGGTATTTTAATATGGTTATTCTATTTCATGCCAAATTCGATGGAAATTTGTATATATTTCGAGCCTTTTTGGTGTAATTTTTGAAAAATTTATTCATTGAATAAAATTTTGTTTAACAATAGTAATTAAATGTCTGCTCATTGCAAGAAAGTAATTTAGTAGATTTCTTGTTAATATTCATAAGATTTTTTTATGTTTCATTAATAAATGTTTTTATTTATGCTAAATTAAATCTTAATTAATCATGTTTGTATTTTCATTAGTCGCTTAAAGTTAAAGAAAATAATCCATACTCACTTTGGAGCTAAATGTAATTTTAAATATAATATCTCATCTTAAGAATAAATCTACGCAACATTTTTTCCAAAGAAATGTCTGTAATTTAGCTCAAGAAGATGTCAAAATAATGACGATCTCACTTGGTATTTTGGACTAAATTGCGTTGTGTGCAGCTTAAAGTCCTACACAATTTGTTATATTTTTAGAGAACTTTCTAAAATTATTATGGAAAGTTTTGTGACACCTGAGTTTGACAAAGGAAAGCTTTACTGGATCTGTTTTTAGTGAGAATGTGGCATTTCACGTCGCTTCTTGTTAACAAGACTAGATCAGTTCTGGGTGACAAACTCACCGATAAACGAGTTGAAGGCTTTTGAATTCAAGGACACCAATAAAATTCATCTGCATTTTAGCAGTTTGCTTCACAATTATTCATTTAAAAAACAAGTCAACTGTGTAATCATTTGGCTGCTGAGAGTTAAATGCACAATTGTATCTAAGATCAATAATTAGTCGACCAACAACTTTTGATCGAAAACATCGTTGCTCCTAATGAGGTGACAGTTGAAGGCGTTCTCCAATAATTGCATAAAGTAGTAGATTTTTGAAAAATATTTCCTTTAATAATATTTGATTACACATAAACACCCCTTGCCTTATGCTTCCTCTTTCACAAAGCTATTAATATGATCTACTTGCTTTTTGTATTTACATTCAAGAAGTCCTCACGTAGTTAAATGCGCCCACTTTCCAATTAATTATGCTTAATACTCACTCTTCATTTGTCTCAAATATATATATATATAGCGTTTCTGAGCAAATGACTTTTTGTTGCGTGGGCGAAGAAAAGAGGAAATGAGGAAGGTGATTCGTTTCCTCCAACTCTCCACACTGTTATTAACACGTAGGCTCACATGGAGTATTTGTTTGTTTCCAAAAATAGTTAGGTAGGACGGCAGAATGGTTAATAGGGGGGAGGGGGTGGAGGGGGGTTGAGGGGGTAAGTAGGGGCCGGCAGAGAAGTTTCTGCACCACCTCCGCTAAGAGTTGGTGTCATTCGTCTTCCCTTCTCCTCCTCATTGTTAGTTGAGATAAATTAGCGCTTTCCTGCGGCTTCTGTTCCTCCCCTAGGCAAGAACTAATTATATCTTTATTCCTACTGTGATAGAGTCGAATGGTCGTCGTGGAAATCGTAAAATAACACCGTTATTAGGATGTCTCTTAAGTATATTCTCAAAATTGGCATTTAAAATGTGATTGAACATTTCAAAAATCCAAAATGTTTTAAAATTTAAAAATTTACTTCAATTGATGGCACCCTTCAAAATTTAAGAACTTTTGTGTGCTTTTATAGAAACCGTTTAATTTGATGCTTGAATTATCGAAAATTATCGTCATTAGAAGCCACTCTATTGTATAGTTTCCACAGCTAATGCTAATTTATCAAAATAAACTTTGACCGAACGCAACAACTATCTCTGACGCTGCACTCAATAGAACAAAGTTTTCTGATTGATTGATTGATTGAGAGGCATTTGCACACACGCTACACTTGGTAGCTTTAAGTTTTCATTAGAACTAACTTTAACGTTAATGCGAAATTTCTCTTTCCTATTTTAGTAATGGCTCCAAATCCATTTGACGCAAGTTATCATCTGTCAAAACCAGCATTGGTTTGTCTATCTCTCTTTGTAGCAGTTTGTGTTTTGTGTTTCCTAGCTTTCATCCTCACATTAGTACGACAGAAGTTGATCGCCAAAACTAAAATCAGTAAATCTTTTATGCGTCGCTTCTCTTATGACACTTTCGACTCCCAGACACCGACTCCGTCTATTCTTCTTGACGAACAATTCGTCCAACCTTCAAATTCTAGCTGCCGTTCTCTTAAAAATCTCTCACCAATACATGAAGCTCACTCAGAAAATCTATGGATTCTTGATCTTTTCCTACGTCGACATTCTGCGCCCAAGTCCTCTCAGCAATTCAGAAGACCCAGTGAAAAACGTTTTCTATATCGATCTGTTAATAGCAACATCCAGTTCTCCCGCTCTGTTGCTAATTATCCCACTCTTCACCTCTCCATCAGCTATATCCATACTGTGGAACTTCTAAGGATAGTTATAGATAAAGTAACTGGTCTTTCGAAAGGTGACCCCACACCAAAGATTTATACTCTAGGGCTTCGAATAATGTCAAGATCACCGACGAGCGCTTATTTGAGTAAGCCCCTAGTGACACCCGCTATAGCTGGATATCCAACATTTGATCATCTTTTCGAATATACAGTAAGTCTCAAGCAACTAGAGCACGCAAGAATTGAAGCCACGTTGTTTGCTAGACCTTGGTCTGACATTTTATCTACTGGAAGAAGATATACAGTCGGAGCGATTCCTTATACCACAGTTGGAACGCATGGCAAAGCTGGAGTGGAAATCAATGATTTATTAAAGCAGTACTCCGTTGTTGGAAGGTCGGAGCTTGTACTTGATACATCTTTATTGAAAAACAATCCAGAAGTGATGGAAAATATGTCACTGCCCTTGAATACCATTGTAGACGAGCCAATAGAAATTAAGGAAAGTGAAAAGGAATGAAGTGTTCAAATTTTTAAATGACAAGGGTTTTCTTGCATCACCAACACTTGCTCCTCTCTCTCACTATAACAAATTTGTCACTAAATATATTGTGAGCGACGTTATATATACAAGTATTATAACTTAAGACGCTATCTATTTTTATCATAAGTGCCACTTGCTGTTATATGAAGGCGTGCGTGGGGGGGGGAGGAGGGGGGAGGGGG